TAAGAGATTCAAGAACATGCAAAAAGACATTTTGGTATCAAAAAACAACCCCATGATTGCTTAACTGAATTCATTCAATTGATGAATTGACGTTTTGGGCTTGAATTAATGACTTAGAAGATATTCAGTAGAAGAACTTAGGACTTAAAAGAAATATCTAAGAAAACTGAGCAAAAAAATAAATAAATAAATTATAAATGACTTGTATGTGTAGGGGAAATGAGAGTTTTGTTGAAATAGATTTCTTCTAGTCATTTTTATGTGATTATGAGAGCAGAAGAAAGGAAAATAACCATAATACCATAATGGATGTTGGAGAGAGTAGTAAAACTTCAATTAGCAATAGAAAAAGTTGAATGACTAGCACCTTGGTGTTGTGGCACTTGCTTTTGTTTATTATCTTAATGCAGTTTTCAGTTATAAAAGTGCACATAATGTGTAACCAAGCCCTTAGAATGATTACCAGGGTGGTTCATAAAAAAAAATTACCTGTGAATTTTTGAGTTGTTAAAACGCTATAACATTTTAATGTAATCTTCTGAAGTATGCTCTTAAAATTTTATTCTTTTATTTGTTCTTCAAACAACAGATATTTAATGGCTATCTGATATTCTAGTCACTAATCAAGGCACAAGACACATAAGGAAATAAAGTATTGATATACGTAATTTCTCTACTGGATTTTAAATTAAGGGGAAGATAGACTGTAAATGAATACTAGGTTAGGTGGTGATCAGTGCTGTGGAGACAAATAAAGCATAGTATGGGACAAGAGAGTGACAAGTATACTATTTTAGATAGGCTTTCGGGGAATATGTATTCATCCCACACAAACAACTCACATACTCAGCTCAGGCTTAATATAGTTTTCGTTAGGTAACATGTTCTCTATGTAAAAACTCATTAAAAAAAACTAAGGAGGAACATTATATGAAAATGTATAGGAATTAGTTTTACCCAGTAAAAAGAAAGTTGTAAAATTTATTAGTTTTATTAATGCAGGTTACATTGATTGCTTCAATTTATTCTATCGTTCAGAAAAATTGTATAATAACAATATTGTCTTGCTTATTTTGTTGGTTTTCATTTTTGGTTTAGGCTGTAGTTTCTAAAGTTTGTTTACTTGGCAGTTTTGTTTTTTTTTTT